TATTAATTTTTCTATCAAATAATGTTAAACTTGAGTTTAAGATATAGAATTCAAATCTCAATACTTCCTCCACAGAGTAAAATATTGTTTATTCTTAGGCTCAAGTCTGAATTCTGGGAATTTGATGGCCTGGAGCAGTGACTCTTCTTTCCTTGGAGCAGTACCTCCCTTACCCTTTCTCTTTCATTTTCTTTTCCTTGATTCTTTTCATACTCACATAATGAATAAGATTATGAAGTCTGAGCTGATATTGGGGGAAAGACACAGACACCACTTCACTTAGGAAGCAATCAAGTGAAGTTCCTGTCTAGGTAAGTTTTTTTTTTTCACTAGCACAATATCCTGAGCAAGAGAAAATTTCCCCTGTTCAGACACTTATTTGTAGCAATTCACAGGATATATGTTACCTGAGGAGCCACCTCAGATGGCCACACAGGATAAATAATTTCCACCAGTTTCTGTAGTGACCCTATGCTACTGGAAATTTCCAGGTCAACAAAAGAACCCAGGGATGGAAGTCTCTGGACAGCACTATTAATGGTGGTACAAGGAAATTACTAGGGCAACAAGGAACAATCTGCACACCAAAGGAAGAAATGCTATAGAGAATAGAGTAGTATTTCTTTGGTGGTCATCATCCATGGGGATTGCTATAAAACTTGGGTGCAGGACATATCCATAAAAGGATGTTGAACACAATGTAAAGCAAGATGGGAAAACAACCTAGGTAGAAAGAGCTCTTAAAAAAAGAGATGTGGTGATATTTTATTTATGCTGAAATGTAGTGATATTTTATTTGTGCTTTAGTAAATAAAGCTTACTTGGAGATCAGAGGAAAAAGGCCAGCCATTATAAGTAAACAAAGAAGTCAGGCAATGGTAGCACTTAGCAGGCAGGATTTCTCTTCAAGGCCACACTGGAAACAGAGCCAGGTGTGGTGGCACATGCCTTAATTCCAACACTAGTTAACCATGGAGGTCTGTTCAGACAGAAAGTGACAGAACTGTGTAGGAAGAGGAAGTGATGTGGCTGGACAGGGAGCAAATCAGATGGCAGAACAGCAAGGCATATGTGCCTGGGTAGACAGGAAGTGACTTGCATTTGGAAGCTGTAGAGTTGTGAGCTAAGGTTGTCTGGTGGCTTTCCCTATTTCCCTGATCTCTCTAAGGCTTTTACCCCTATATTTGGCTCTGTGTTTTTTTATTTAATAAGACCACTTAAAAATTCATCTACAACTGGCACTCCAATGTGGCAACAATTAAGTAAAAAACTGTTTGTGGGCTTACAGGGCCCCTGGCTCAGGCCTGGTTGCATGGCTCAGGCTGGAGCATGTGGCCAGAGTCTCTTTGGCTTTTTTTCTCCTGGTGGGTAGTGGGCTCGCTTTCTCTGGATTCCCATCACAGACTGCCACCACACTAGGTAGCTGCTTTGAAATTCCCTCATACTTCTACTGTTCTATGCAGTCAACAGACTTGATAAGTCAATTAAGATATCTTAAAGGGTAAAATTAGTTAAAAGAGAATTTTTTCCCACATTAAAAAAATGGGAATCATTTTTATCATGGGAGGAATTTGATCTCTGTTTGATAACACATTAGGAAATTGAAAATGGAACAATTAAATGAGATAATTAATGTTGATGGGATATATGTAACATCAATTATGAATATTATTATTTGATCATTTTTACTTTAGCATTAAAAAGGTTGGTCAATTTAAGTGCCAATATAAAGCTTTAGAAAAAACTGTTAAAATGAATTATAGAGAAATTCAGACACAGACAGAAGAATTTTATTATTATTATTTTTTAATTTTATAATTTAATTTAATTTTACATATCAGCCACAGATTCCCCTGTCCTCCCTCCTCCCACCCCCACCCTCCCCCCAGTTCAACCCCCATTTCCATCTCCTCCAAGGCAAGGACTCCCCTGGGGATTCATCTCAGCCTGGTGGATTCAGTCAAGGCAGGTCCAGTCCCCTCCTCCCTTCACATAGGCTGAGCAAAGTATCACAGCATAGGCCTCAGTCTCCAAAAAGCCAGCTCATGCACTAAGAACAGGTGCTAGTCCCACTGCCTGGGGGCCGCCCAAACAGTTCAAGCTAATTGACTTAGACAGAAGAATTTAAAGGTGAAATTATTTTAGAACTGGATTATATGGTTACAGAGAGACAGCCTGTTTTCAAACAACCAAATTTAATCTATCCTTATAGGAACTACCTGCTCAAGGGCATGTACAAGCTAAATGGACTCCAGTGGAAATGTTAGATTTAAGGAGATTTAAAGAAGCTATAATATCATATAGCATGCATTCTCCAGATGTTAAACTCATGGTCAACTTGTAATAGAATTATCCCTCAGAACTGGAAAGAATAATTACAGCTTTCCTAAGAGCTGGAGTACAATTACAATGGAGAACTTGGTTTGAAGAAGAACCTAAAACAATAGAACAACAATGTAGGACTAGAGGTGTGGAAATTTCCCAGGATCAGCTTCTTGGAGAGGATGATTATGCTGATATAAAAATACAATGTTTATATGAAAACAAACCTTAATTCTATGCCACATGGCAGCCATGAATGCATGGGACAGAATTGAGGAATTAGGAAAGAAAATTGAATCATTTACAAAAGTTATACAAGGCCTGAAAGAATCCTTCATGGATTTCTTACAAAGGTTATCTTCAGCAGTAAATAGAATGATACCAAATTCAGAAGCTAAAAGAGATAATAATTGAATCTTTGTCTTTTGAGAATGTAAATGCAGCATGCAAAAAAAAATCAGGCCATTAAAGGCCAGATCAGCACCCCTGGAGGATTGGATCAGGGACACAATTAATATTCAGTCCCATGACCATGATATATGGATAGGAGAGGTGATATCAAAAGCTTTGAGGAAAAATAATAATGTCAGATGTTTTAGTTGTGGTAAACAAGGTCATTTGAAAAGAAAATATAAATAGGGCATTCCTAGAAAAAATGTTTATTCAAGGAAATATGGCAACAGAATTCCCCTCCCTTCTGGATTATGCAGAAGGTGTGGTAAGGGTAAACATTGGACCAACAAATGTAGATCAGCAAGGGACAGACAAAATAATCCTTTGCCTCTGCCATTGGGAAACTCCCTGAGGGGCCTCATGCAAGCCCCCATGGCAAATTAAGTTCAGACTTTCTCTGCCATCATAGAAGTAACCCTTTCTCAGAGCAATTAAATAACCAAATGCCTATTAGAATAAACCCGTCTGCCTGGGTTGATAGAACAGCTGTAGCAGAGAGAACAGGAAATTCAGGAGAAACAATAAAGCTAATTTTTGGCAACCTATAAATGAACAAAGACCAAAATTAAAAATATAAATAAATGACATTCTTTTGGAAGGTTTGGATGTTACAATAATTGCACCAGAATTCCAGAGACTGAACTTAGGTCATCAGGCTTAGCAACAATCAACTTTACATACTGAGAAATTTCTCTGACATTCATTTGTGTTTCTGAGAAAGTGTTATGAACAAATGTTTAGTTCTCAGAGAAAACTAACACATTCCAGAAAGATAAATAAAAGATACCACTATATTATTTTCATTTGCAAATAGAGTTTATTATTCAAATTGTCCTGTTTTACTCCATCCTTAGATTACAATATGTTTATAATTTGAAAAGAATGTAATAATTTACTGCTTATTTGAGCATCAGTAAGATGGCTAAGTGGGAAATGTCTGTGGTGTGCAAGGCTGGCAACTTGACCATCGCCAAATAAAGATAGATAAATGTAGATCCCATAAAATTGTTTTCTGGTCTCCACATATCTGTCATGGCCTAAAAACACACAATCACATTATACACCTACGCACATCAGAAATTGTTTTTAAAAAATAAATCTCATTTCCATTACATTACCTGGCATCTTTAATAATTTCCTTGAAGGCATTACTTCAAGATGAATGCCAAATATATAACTAGTGAGAATGTGGAATATCAAATATCTATATATCTAAAGCACACCAAGCTATGCTATGAGATATACATTTTACTGCTGATTATCCTACTTTATCACATCTCTTCCAGACATATGAAAATGCTGCTTTAGATATACATATGAGGTATTTAATGTTTCTTATATTCTCTTCTATTAACCATTTAAAAATTAACATTATTAAAATGTGCTGACAAAACTGGACACATTGGGTTACATATTTTGTACTCAGGAGACTCACACATCAGGTTCATGGAATCAAATGTAGCCCTGATAACAAGCCACAACATCTCAAGGGAATTTGTGAAAATATAAGAAATGAAGCCAGAAACAACAGTGAACCACCTTTTCACAGATACTCTTATTTGAAAAGTATGATCACGCACTTCCTGATATTTAAATAAACAATAGAACACTTACATTGACATCCCATTCTATACATTATAGCAGAAAAATACCTATCACTAAGTAAAAGTGCAATCAAAGGTGAACAAAAGTCACAGAAGAAATATAATGACCAGGAAATAAACTTCACTAAATGGATTTGCCACACATACAGCACACTTTAATACCTAATCTGAATGTTTCAAAGTGGAACATGCAGGCAGTCTTTCCTATCATCAATCTTGTGTGAACATGGTAATTTACTAGCTTCAAGGTTATGATGGAAAAGAGATGAAATAAGATTTTTTCCCCTTGAAATTGAAGACAACTATATCTAAGTCTTTATCAAATCATTTACTTGAATAAGGTTTTTTCCTCTTGTATGAGTTCTCTATTTCCTAAGGTCAAGATGATATGTAAGACAATGATATATAAGCACAATGTCACATTACTCATCTGTCTAGTGATAGCATGGACTGGGTAGAGATGCCCACCCCCCACCCATCAATGACTGAGTCATAAGAGCAGGAGAGCTGTTCTTGCACCTCATCAGCTGCAGCATTCAGGAGAATGGCCCTTACACCTTGCCTGGGTAGATAGAGATGGTCTGGAATGTGTAGGTGTGAGAGAAAGCCAGAGAATTGGCCTCACACTTTACTCATGGCTGCAAGGGGTGAACTATCCAGGGCAACACTGAAAAGCTCACCCTAGGGTGAAGACAGTGAAGAGATGATTGTCCAACCCTGCAAATACATAGGCCCAGAACCAGAGTTACATATTGGCCAACCAATATACCCACCCCATATGTTATCTACTGGAGTATGGGGGTCAGTCCTGTGGACCCAGAGCTGCAGGATCTCTATGACACAGGACAGCAATGTGATGTCTAGGAAGAGTCTCAGTGAAGGCTTAGTGCTGATGGTGCTGCATAGATCAGGAGCCTCAAACCAGACAAATGATTTTTTGAGATCAACAAGTACATGTAAAAAAACATATGGATAAAGGGCCTTACTGTGGGAAAAAAAAACAATTTTATTTCTAGACTCAAGATTTTTAAAACTTTCTGTAATTCTTGCTACTCAAAGACACAAGAATCTTACCTTCTTGGGAACCAGCATGAACATTCATGTACCCACACAAAGACACACTGACTTTACATAACTAAAATTAAAACAAATCATTAAAGAAACAAAATTTTCATTCATGACTGTTACTCATATGTAAATGTTCATTTCTGTAACTCACATGTTAAAACATCTAAAAGCTTACTTACAGAGTTTTTCTTCATCATGAATTTGTTCATGTAACAGAAAGCAAGCTTGTGGGTTTGTTAGATAATCAATACTCTCAGTTGGTGGTATCATTTGGGAAGATTTAGGAAATGCTGCCCTGCTCTGGGAAATATGTCACTGGGAGTGAGCTTCAGAGATGACATCTTTATACCATTTCAAGTTCCTATTCTCTGCTTCATGCTTCATGTTGATGTGAGCTCTGAGCTCCCTGCTTTATCTTCTATGTCTGATACTTGTTGCCATGCCATTTTCATGGTGATCCTGTACCCCTCTGGAACCATAAGCTAAATTAAACTTTCTCATATGTTTGCTCAAACATGCTGTTTTATCATAACAAAAAGGCACTAATACACATCCATAAAGTTTTACACCTGAATGGATTATTTCATGTAATTGAAAAGAAGTGTGAAATCTAAATCTAAAATAGGGCTTTTGTCCCTATTAATCTGCAGGTGCAAATAAAATAAAGAAGGACATCATAGTGCTTGAATGGATTGTTAGTACATAGTTAGATTTTTTCTCCCGAATAATCTTGTGTAACTGAAGGTAAATGTGTTGCCTAAAGATTTTACCAAATTCTTTATAGTCAGATTCCCTTGGGTATGAGTTCTTTCAGGTCCTAAACTATTACTGTGATATGCAAATGCTTGAACAGACTGATTATATACTAACGGTTTTACTCTTGTATAAAGACTACCAATGAAGTGCAAAACTTTGCCACACTGACGATATTTATAGAGTTTCTCTACAATATGACTTTCCCTCATAATTTCAAAGACTACTGCTATATAGAAAGGCTTAACCACATTGCTTGCATTCTCAGTGTGAATGCATTCATACATTCTCGAGTGTGTATTCTTTTATGTATTTGGAGACAGTATACTGTGTTGTGAAAAGGCTTTATCACATTAATGACTTTCATTGGGCTTCTCTCCAGTATGTGTTCTTTTATGTATTTCAAAATAACTGTTATGTGCAAAGACTTTACCACATTGATTACATTTGTAGGGGTTCTCTCCAGAATGTATTCTTTTATATATTCAGAGATGACTGTGATATACAAAGGTTTTACTGAATTCTGTACATTCATAAGGTTTCTTTCGAGTATGTGTTCTTTGATATATTTGGAAATTATTGTGATGTACAATGGCTTTACCACATTGATTAGATTCACAGGGTTTCTCTCCAGTATGTGTTTTTGGAGATTACTCTATTGAGAGAAGGCTTTGCCACATTCATTACATTCACAGTTTCTTTCCAGGGTGAGTACTTTCATGCATTTTAAGGTAACAGTAATGTGCACAGGCTTTCTCATGTTGATTGGATTCAGAGGTTTTCTTTCCAGCATGTGTTTTTCTATGAATTTGGAGATTACTCTTTTGAGAGAAAGCTTTATCATGTTGCTTACATTCATTGGGTTTCTCTCCAGTAAGAATTCTTTCATGCTTTTAATGGTAATTGTGATGTGCAAAGGCTTTACCACATTGAGTATATTCAGAGGATTTCTCTTTAATATGACTTCTTTCATGCCTGGGAAGATAGTTGGCACAGGTAAAACCTTTATCACATTCATTCATTACACTGATGAATATTTTTATCTGAATTAATTTTACAGTTTAGTCTAATTGTTAAGAGAAACCAGATGTTAAGGTTTTATCCCATTGTTTATATTAATTTTATATTAATGGTGTTCATCTTCTTTATGGGTTCTTTTGTGTCTTTGAAGATACCTGTGATAGTAAGAGCCTTTATTACATGGCTCACATTTATAGCATCCTTACTTCAAATTACTTTTTTATATTTTTGAAGAGAACTGGAAGAACTCATAGCTTTACCATACTGATTACATCAATAAAATTTCCTATAGTGTAAGTTCTTGTGGTAAGCCCCGCGTTACCAATACCCATTCGCCATGTCCAAGCGAGGGGCTGCAGATTAAAAATAGAGACAAAGACAGCAAGTCATTTGCCATGGCTGAAATGCCGAATGCCTTTTATTGAAAGAGGGAGGAAACCTTAAATACAGGCTTACAGCATAATGGAGGATCCCAGGAGGGCAGAAGTTCGCTACCGAACATTCTTGCATCGAAGCTGTTTACACCAAATGCAGGATACAGGAACAAAGAACCTCCAGTGATCCTTAGGTGAGAAGGAAACTGGCAGGGAATTTGAATAGGGAGGACATCTGCTCAAGGTCGGCAAGCAAGGCAGCAGCCACTCACAGTGGGGGGCCCACAGAAAGTTATACTACATTTGTAAAGTAAGCCAAGACAAAGAGATTTTCACATTCCTAGTTCTCATGACTTCTACAGTGTGAATTTTTGATGTATTCTCAATGATGTTGAAAAACCAATTAATTGTAAACTTGTAGCACATTCAACAATCTACTCAAACTAGAGACTACTACATATCTTCTAATTGTTCTGAGAGATAGAGAGGTACATTGCTTCTTTCCATATCCCTATTCTCACATGGCTTGTATCCATTGTGACATACAATATATATTAAAGTAAGAATAACAAATAAAAGTTTTCTACATTGTATTCATACAGTTTTACTTTGTGTTCCTCATAGACATGTGGTATAGGGATTAAGTTTTCTCCATCCACAACAACCTCCTTGACTCTCATAAACTGTCCTTCTCAGTAAATTTAGCAAAGTCACAAGTATACAAGTAATACCAGCTTCACTATAGAATATTTGTTGATTAGAAGGTCTTAGACATATACTTATCACCTATTCAATGTGTATTTCTTTTGCAATATCTGAGTGGTATGAAACTAAATGGATTGTCAGTTGTACCACATAGCTCTCATGGGGCTGACTTAAATGGTGACATATTTTCAGACATTATTTCCTTGTCTTCTTTCTTAGATGAATGCCTTGATAAAACAAATGAGCTACCTGACATTGCAGTGTATGGTTTTCTGAGAATTTAATGATCATCAATACACTTAAAGCTTTTCTTATTTACACTGTTGCTTCTTTTTTTTTTTAAACATGCAGGGCACATCACTTTTTTTTTTTCAGAAGCACATCTGTATAAGCAATTGTACCCCGGCCAGCGGGGTGTCAACGGGGGCGACCCACTTGTGGGAGAGAATGAAAGGGATGGGGAAACAAGAGAGAAGACAGCAAGACAGTGTTCTGATCAAGCTGCAAATTTTATTCTCCTCAGCAAGGCTTATATAGCATGTGAGGGGGCAAGAAGGAGGGAAGTGGTGCACATGCCTTATGTGTAGATGAAGGGAGCCGTTCAGGTGAAGGACTACCTGCAAGTCATGAGGCTGCTAGGTGGTAAGGTCACTGGTCAGGGCTCATTGTTCTGTTGCTATGCTACCTGACCTGCCTGACCTGTTCTTTATCTTTGGGAGCATCTGGTTTAGGGCAGGGGCTTGTTCTCTGGCCTAGCTAGTACTTTTCCATGGTCCATGTTTGGTCCCTGACACAATTGCATGAAAATTACCTTCCATATTTTTGCCAGTGTTCTTCAATATTATGGTCTTCACATTCATAGCCTAAAATATAGTACCAGAAAATGTATGATATATTACTAGAAATTATGTAAAGTTTAACTTATTATCTTCAGCGAACCTTAGAGCCATGCTTGAATTCACTACATTTTCCTCTTTCTCAACCCAAATTACATAAGAGGATCATTAACCAAACACTTGTCCCCTTATTTAAAAAAATGAAAGAGAAAACCCACAGTCTTACCTATAGCACTGAGGTTACTATAGGTTTCCAGCATCACATCTTTGTAGAGACTCTTCTGGGAAGTATCTAGGAAAGCCCATTTTTCCTGAGTGAGGTTCACATGCACATCATCAGAGATTGTAAAATATCTCATACATGTGTATAATAGAAAGATTGCTACTGGCAGCATTGAAAAATGTATATTTCATTGAAAATATACTCATATGATTCTGGTGCTTACCACACTTACCCCATGGTATTGCCATTATAATGTAATTACCAAGTCATTTCAGGAGGAAATTGAGGAGGAGGTTCACTCCTGTTGTTTCTTCATCCTATGAATAAGATATAGCCTTGCAAGAGAAATTCATATTAACAAACATATAGAGAGACAAGCAGAAAGATTCGCAATAGTGAGTACATATCAGAGAAATGATCTTCATAATTACTAACTACAAAAAAGTTGGGTAAACTGGTTGTATTGGCTCATGCCTTTAATGCCAGCACTCAAGAGGCAGGCAGTTTAAGAGTTGTATGTTAGCCTGATCTCTGCAAAGAGTTCTATGACAGCCAGAGGTACATATTAAGATCCTGTCTCCTCTGCAAAAATTAATCAAACAAAGAAAAAAAGATAGAAAGAACTCAGGGGATTTTACTTAAGTTTCTATCAAGAAGTATGCATTCACTCCAGTTCTGTATTTGTTTTCTAAAAAGTGAAGTACCTTAGTTTAAAATTTAACATTAATATGATGTTACTAAAAGGGAATATGTTTTTAAACAGTTACAAATAGATAAATGGAAACAGCACTGTAAATGTTGATCATAAATAAACAACATAATTTAGAAGAGATTGCTCAGCAGTTAAGGCCTTTTGCTGGTCCTACATATAGGTGGGCTATACTTACATTGCCAATACTTACATAAGGGTTCACAACTATCCATTACTCTAAGTTCAGGGATTTGGAAGCCATCTTTTGACTACTGTGAGGATCAGACATACATCCATGCAAAATAATCCTATTCATTAAAAAAATCAAAACAAACAGGTAGGAAGATTGTCACAAACCTGTAATCCAATGACTTCAAAGGCTCAAGCAGTATTACTTTGATGAATGCATGCTATCCTGGAAAACAAAATTATACCCTCTGCCAAACTTCAAAATTAAAGGTGTTGGTGGGACTCAACACAACAGCATATTCTTGACATGTATAAAAACCTACATTCCAGACCCATCAGCTTATAATATATAAAAAAACTAGGCATGTTGTCCTACCTTTAATGTCAACACTTTGGATCCAGAGCCAGGTGGATCTCTGAGTTCAAGGTGATCCTGGTTTACAGAGCTATTTTCAGTAAATTCAGGGAGGGCTACACAGAGAAACCATATCTTCAAAAACAAAACCCACAAAATTCAAAAATAAAGACATCTCACTAGCAAAATAGTTTAGCATTGAATAGCAATTGCTTCTACTGTATCTTAAGTAATTTAGTAATAGAATCTATAAGAGTGGTGAAGGCATAACAGCATGATCATGACAGCCAATCAGTTTCAACCACAACATAATAGACAAAAAGAATAAGAAGTAAGTTGGGGCTATAGACCCCCAAATTCTATCCCCAATGAAGAATTTCATCCAGAATGGCTCCTCCTTCTTAAGATTCTACAAGCACAGCAAAGAAAGCCACCAAGGAGAGGTAAGTATTCAAAAACATCCTCCTATCTATTCAGCTGGCTATATTCTGATTCACATCACTATAGTCTTATGGTCATCAATTAAAGAAAATACATTTAGTCTAATTTCAATAATCCTCATAGTCTATAATAGCCCCAACACTGTTAAAATGTCCAAAGTTTCTTCTGACATTCAATATAATCTTTTGACTGTGATATCTTGTAAAATCAGAAAATGTGTCATATTATTCCAACATACAATGGCTCAGAATAACCATTCTCATTCCAAAAGAGGGGAATGGGTACATAGCAAGGAAAGATTGGACCAAGACAAGATTGAAACACAGCATGCAAAACATCAAGTCCTGTAGCTCTGTGTCAGATATAGGGGGCTTCAGTTTCACATGGCTCTATTCCTGCAACTTCTCATACATCTTTCTCTTTGGTTACTTCCACTCCTTATATGCAGCTCACCATGGCAGATAGCTATGAGATACTCATAGCTTAGGTATCTCAAAATCTTGTAGTCTTAAAAGACTACCCACCCTTCATCCTCATAGCTTCTTGCAATGACTCTCACAAACTCCTCACTAAGGCTCTGACTCTGCCAAACACAGATTCATGAAACAGTGCTGAACTGAAACCACAGACTAAGAATCCATGACTTTAAAATTTCCATCTTTCTTGTTTCTAGAACCAGTAAAACATGGATGATCCTGTCAAGTTTGACTTCTAAATTGGGATGGACCTTACCATGTTTGTACCACAGTTACAGTAGGTTCTGTATGAAATTGCTTCCTGGGAACAGTAATCACTTTGCCTGCTCCTTCCATTAATTGATGACTTAAGAGGATGGAGTATTGCATTTACAGACCAACTTCTTAGGCTTTCAAACCAGAGCAAGGGCTTTCTCTTTAATAGTGATAATCTTAAAAATTCCTGCCTCTGTTTCAGCACTTAACTGCCAACCAAAACTACCCAACCCTATTTTTTTTTTTTATCTACAATCCAGGCTTTTTACTTCTTTCTGCTCTACTCTTTTCTCTTTTCACTGTAGTCCTGAGTGAGTCATCACTTATAATCATCCAAAAGAATAAATATTTGATCTAAGAAATCAGTCACTTTTTAAAAATTTGTCATTATTCAATTTCTAAGGGCATGGGTAGAATAAAAAAAGGTTGGTGCCAAAATACCATACAAATAACCTCCAGCTTAATTTTTCATGCACTTTATTTCCCACTAAAATTCTATGACCTCGCCCTCCATTGCTTGCATTACTCTCAATAATTCCATCTCCCAGGTCCCTTAACATTTCCATTCTCACTGATTTCTTTGCCACTTTGAGTAAATACTCTAGCCAAAATCATCTCAAGTAATGAATGTCTGATTGTGGTAGATCAAATTTCATCATTGTGAGAGCTTAGGATAGAAACTCAAGCTAGCAAAATTCATGGGAAAACTTTGTTTCCTGGCTTTCTCTCTTGCTTGGTCACTGTCTCATACTTAGCTAGCTCTCTTATTCAGCCCAGACTCACTTCCTTAGGGATATTGCCACCCTCAGTGGAAGGGCTTTCTCACATCAATCAACAAAATCTCTCACAAACATAGCAACCAGTCATTCTGATGGGGACATATCCTCAATTGATGTTTCCTCAGATTACTATAGGCTCTAACAGCTGAAGTTAAGCAAGACACAGACAGTAATATATAAAAATAATGTAAAAAACCCCAAACCAATCACTTAAGTAGCAAAAACACAAACACTGATGATAGCAACAACTGGAAAACACAGTATTGCCAAGAAATAAGGAGAGGTAAGCCTCTAAAATCAAGGAAAAAAAAAAACCTAAAACCATTTCTCCACAGAAAGTCCCCAAACCAACAAAAACTCAAGGAACTCATAGCATAATATAGTAAAATTTCCAGAGAATCTAATAGATAACTAGATTAGAATTAATAAAATAATGTAACATAGATGGCACCACTGATAAAGGAGATAAAAAGACAGACCTATAAATGTAACATGGTCCCTTAAACAAGAACTACAAGATTCTAACTAAAATCAAGGAAATTATTGACCAGCACTCACGTTGTTCACTCTGGTTCTCTCCTTTGCCAGTAATAGAAAATGGCTTTGGCAAGGAGGGTTGTTCTACCAAAATTGGATAAGTTCACTTGAAGTCTTTAGCTTTTTCAACATTGTCAAACATAATTTTGACTACTCAAAGTATATTATTCTCTTTTGATGAAGAAAATCATGTCTGTTAGGATCACTTAGAAATCATTTTGTTTCCTATGATTGATGATTGGAAATAAGTCTGCATCAGAGTGAGGAAATACAAATGTTTTCAAACCAAATGCAATATAGCAGATTTTTTAAATAAATATTGTATGATTTATATTATAAACCGAAAGCAATTTGTTTTGCTCTAATTGCTTTATAAGTCAAAAGCACTTTTGAAAGCTAGTCTGTGCCCATTTTTATGTGTATGTGACAGAGATGTTTCCATGTGTGTACAGGTAATACCCCAAAGAAGAGGGTGTTAGATTTCCTGGATCTGGAGTAGCAGGGGATTATATGCCTTGCAAATACCCAGGACATGTTTTCTTTGGAACACTGAGTTGGCTCAATTTTAATTGTTTAATCTCTAATTCTTCCTATAACACATTGGGAAATTGTACATCCAACAATTTATTGGGTAAGTGGTTATAGTTTTTATGTCACCATCAGCAATGCAAGTTCCAGTATGTACAGTTCTAGGATGTGGCCCATTCCCTCCATGAGATGCTTTTTAAGCAATTTGATCCCTACCAGGCAGATTAAACAAGGACAAACAGACTGGTTTGTGGAAGATAAAGTGTCCACTGCTACTTACTGTCACCCTTGATAGTCTTGAATGACTCCACAGTATTCAGTGGAAACATGTACCAAATATTCTTAAGAGTACAAATATTACTACAATTTTTCACTACCTAGAAATAATTCTAGGGTGGATATACACTATCAACAAAAAAGAGTTGTCTAGAAACAAAATTCATGAATGGTTATTAATGATATTCTTTTGGCCATGCAAACTTGATGTCATGCCCAATTCCTTACAATGTTTGGAAATAAACAAAATCTTCCCTCCTGAAATGCTCTATGATTAGGGTCAACATTACTCTTTGCATGCTCATCAAAGACTTATCTGTATTATGGATATTTACAAGTGTGCTCTGAAGGAATTCTGCAAATTATATCAGTCTTGGAGCCTCACATTTGTGCTTGATTAACTAAGAATATACATGTTCCAGCACAGAGCTCCCATCCGGACCAGAGGTGAGTGTCTGCGGTCATACCCATGGAGGCCTGTCCCTAGGTCCCATCCCTGGGCACCAGCAGTTCCCAGGGAAGATCCGCCCAACTTGGCCCCAGTTGCCGGCCATCAGGTGGGGCTCCTGTGGGAAGGTTCCCCTTCTCCAAGACCCCCAGAAGATCCTG